CACTTACCAGTAGCCAGAGCTGTTTGCTATGTGTGGTATGTATGCACTTTGGCTCTTTAGAGGTCCAAATGTTAGAGGTATCCAACATCATAAAATGCAGGGGTTTTTTTGGCCCCCACAATATACAAACACCTGAATTTAAACAACCTCATGTGAAACATGACCAAGGTTTCTGTGCTTATGAGTTAACACATCCTAAGCACTTAGTCTTGACCCAGCAGTCCATGGTAGTTGCAGTCCATGTGTAACTGAAGTTACCTGGCATTCAAACAGACTAGGGCACAAAGAGAAAACAAGGACAGGAATCCACAGAAAATCAGGTTCTGAGGACACCCTCTCCAAAACAGTGCTCCAGTTGAAATTTAAAAAAAGGAAAAAAAAGAAAAAAAAAGAAAGAAAGAAAATACACATACTAGCTAAGGAAAAGCAGCTGAATACCCATCAAGGACTGTAAAAACCTTTCCAGGGCACACAGAAATGTGGTCAAGAATGCTAAGGCTCACATAGAACTAAAATTGGCCAAAGATGTCAAGAATAACAAGGTTTCTACACATATGTGAGTAGTAAGCAAAAGCACAGGGAAGATACAGAGCCATTACCTAATTAGGCAGGGAAGCTACTCACTAGTCATGCTGATAAGGCAGAGCTTCTCAGTATCTTCTGTACTTCCATCTTTACCAGCACAGCTGGACCACAGAGCACCAGATCCAGTATCTACAGCAGTGCATGTGTCACCATGGAGGTGCACAGCTGGTCTGCAGCTTCTTGCAAGGGCTCAACCCACAGAAATCCATGGGCTCAGAAGAAATCCACCCTAGAATATTAAGGGAGTGGCTCACATTGGTGCAAGGCCACTCTCCTTAAGAAGTCTTGAAAATCTTGATTTAATAGACATTTCTTGTGCTGAGAGCAATCAATCACTGCAAGATGTGATTGGACAGGTACTAGATAGTTTCTTCTGGGGTCCTGTTCCCATGAAAGGTTGGAATGAAAGATCTTTCAAGGTCCCTTCAAGCAGTAAAGATGGCTGAACTAAGAGATCCAATTACTAAAAATTTACACCTGTAGATACACTGATATTTTCTCAGCTGTTTCCAAAGCTGGAGTACCACATGAAAGGCTGCATCAGCTGAACCTTTTTGTCAGATCTAAACAAAGAACTCCCTATTACACCTGAAGCTCAAGCTATGGAGTGAAAAATTTCTTCAAGGATGTGAGAGAGATTTGCATAGCGTACTGCATTACAAAGGAAAGCAGGTTTTTATTTCCATCTTGCTATTACCTGGTTTTCATAAATCTGGAGAATATTAGAGTAAAACTCTTCCAAGAGTAGTGGAATGCATGGAAAACTACCCCCAATATATTCAGGAGTAATATATTGTCAGTTTCCTTTAAACTTTTAACATAGAGGACTGTAAATCTCCTTGCCTGCTAGGGCCAGAAGTGGGTTAGGGATAGCAAGGGACTAGAAAGCAGGGTCAGAATTTCTGAGGAGAGCTGAACTGGAGAATGATCAACCTCCCATCTGCAATTTGGACCTACAAATCAAAAATGGGCCTCTAACCCATGGGGAGAGAACAAGCACAGCAGGTTGGCAGCAACAGTCCTTTGTATTTCCATAAACTCTGCTGATGAGATGCACACCTCCTGAGGCACAGGACAGTCATTTTCATACAGCTCTCCAGGAAACACAGATAAAGAACTAGAACCCTACAACCTTCAAAAGGTGTAACATGCGAAGTGCTCATGAGCTGCCGTGGCCAGTTCCAACACAGAAAAGGCACAGCAAAGGCCCACACACACTGTTCCATGCTATCAGGGGTCCTCAGTGCTAAGTGCTTTGATCTGTGGGATTCGATATGACCAATTGTGAGGTATGGTCCTCCACAACATTCTTTCTGAGCTGGAGAGATGGATTTGATGGGTGGACTGTTAGATGAGTAAGAAAGTAGATGGATAGTCACAACTAGAGGGTAGTGTTCAGTGGCTCAGAATCCCAAGGGACATTAGTGACATGTGGGGTCCGCTAACCAGAGCATAGTGTTCAGTGGCTCAGAATCCCAAGGGACATTAGTGACATGTGGGGTCCGTATCAAGAAGTGTCATCTTCATTAATGACATAGATGAAGAAGTCGAGTGCACCCTCCGCAGATTTGCTGATGACACCAAGCTGAGTGGTGTGATAAAGAGCATGTAGTGACAGGCCAAAGGAGAATGGCTTCAAACTGAAAGAGAGCAGGTTAGATTAGATATTAAGAAATGTGTTACTGTAGGGGTGGTAAGAGACTGCAACAGGTTGTCCAGAGAAGCTGTGAATGCCCCATCCCTGGAAGTGCAAGGTTGCACCTTCAGTGCAAGGTTGACTGGGGCTCTGAGCACCCTGGTTTAGTGGAAGATGTCCCTGTCCACAGAGGTGGCTGGAACTAGGTGATTTTTAAGGCCTCTTTCAAGCTCAATCATCATCTGATTCTGTGATTCTGTGATACAGTCTCCAATTATGGAGCTTGGATAGAGAAAGATCCAAGCGGCTCAGTTAGAAGAACTGAGAAGAACATGGAAATTCAGTGTCAGAGGCAGTTCTCAAGTTGTCTGGTAGTGATCCTCAGATGTTGAGAAAAAAATACAGAACTCAAGAACTTTATAACCCAACCCTGATCTTGTAGTCTCTTGGTGTTAGGGTGGCCTTGGAACTGCCACTGCAGAGGGGGCAAAGGCCTCCATTTAATCTGATCTTCTGGCAATTTTTAGTGCAGGCATGTGTTTCTTGTTTGGGTCAGGCTCTTCCTCACTCAGTTCTGCCAGAGAAAGAAAGGGGTCATGCTAAATCAAACTCGGCCTTGACTCAGGATTCAGGAAATCCTAAATACTGATATCTAAAGAAGACCATTTTCACTAGGATACTTCTCTCATTTTAAGCAGCAGGAAATAAACATGCCAGGGGTGCATTACTTCTGTTGCAAAAGGAAGCAAGAAGCAACCACACTGACAGGGTTACTTGTCCCATGAGTCACATCCTCAAGAGAGAAGAGCATTTAAACTCATCCTTAGATGGAGCTGTGGAGTGTGATTCAGGCACCATGCATGGAGTATCTATAGGCCCATTTCTAATGATGAAAGGAAAAGCAGCAGAGGCTGTGTTCCCATATGGAAGGGCATTGGATTTGACAAACTCAAATTTGAAAAGCAATCATAGAGGACTGGTTGGAAAAGAGAATTGCATACCTAAGGGCTAACCATAACAAAAAATAAAAGTCATGGACAAAAGCCAAGAGGCATCTAGAATGCCTGCATCACTGAGCACTGAGTATGAAGGAGGGAGGGGTAGTGTGAAAAAGCTCAGAGACCAGAAAAAGCAGGAGTATGCTGTCTTTGAATGCCTGCAGTATACACTTCTCTGTTAGTTTTTCATAGTATGAAACAGCTGATGTCTACCACATTATTGTTAGAATATAGTATTCTGTTGCACCTACAAAACAGTCACTACTGACTCTTTGCTCCTTGTCTTTTGATCAGCTGCATCAATGTTAACACCAGAATATTTTTAAATGTGAACGTCCTCTATTTCCCTGCACTTGGGGTATGGTATCCAGTGTTTAATTCAGCAGGAAACAAATCACTCTTCAAAACAACAGCCAAAACTAAGCTGGGTCTTGTCTGCATGAAAACTGGCCTTTCAGGATGTTTGATTATGTATTTTCCATTTGATATGTGAAAAATAACTAGCAGCAAAACACTGAAAACAAAACTCAGAGAGGAAAGTTAATTTATTTGTCTAAAACATCAAACTAAGTTGAGATACCTTAGTTTAATCAAAGCTTCTTCCGTTTCCTCATAAGCCTGAACTTCATAAACAAATATTCCAAGTCCGTCTACCTACAAAAATAGGAGGGACAATTCTTGACCTTCTTCAGATATCAAGTTAATTTACAAGTCCTTGAAGACAGATGAAGAACAGGAAGGGATCCTATATCCTAATACACTCCACCACATTTCCCAAGTGTACTGGAAAGGAGGAATATGAGCCTTCTTTGGAAAGGTGCATTGGAAGGCTTATGACCATCTCTTGGAGACAGGGTATGCATTTACATCACCATGACTGCCATGGTAGAGAATCCTGGACTGCTACTTTTACACACCATGCCCTATGATCTGAGAGTTGTAGTCTGCTGTCTCCATTCGCAGAATGTATGGGATGATGCTGTCAATCTGAACATTTCCAATCAGTCCTGCAAAGAACAGCTCTTCAGTGATGGCAGCACTCATCAGCCTAAGAGCGGGCAATCGGAGAAGAAGTCTAGATAGTCTGGAAAACAAATTTGGTGGGAAGTGTTACTTAGATCACAGATTCTGGTGTTGTTCTCTATGATATTATCAGCAAAAGAATAGAAAAAATATGACAAGGGACACTACTGGTCAAAGTTTGCTATATTGAGTTTATGAAAGGCTTAACTATTTAAATCAGTATAGCATTAAATTTATGTTTAGTCATGCCTTGAACAGTACAGAAAATGTACAAATGCCTGTGAACTACAGGTACTATGTATGTTTGGATTTAAGACTAAATGAGGAACTATTCCAAACGGATGCAATTCAAATTGAATGTTACTAATATTTATTTTGGATATTTAATTTTAGAAATTAATAATGAGATGAAAAATACTACACATAATATGTATGACCATATGCATAATATTTCAAGTGCTCTAAAGGTAATTCCTTAATTGTAATGAAGTAAGAAGAAAACGTATGTATCTATTACATGAAAGACTGTACAAATCAGTTTTCAGACTCTGAAAAGACAATTAATCAAGTAAGCATCTTAGTTTACAGACCTGTAAGTATCATCCGGATACGCCTTTGTTACATAGTCCTGGAACTCCATGTAAGCTTTCTCTTGAAATTTCTCAATCTGTACCACATTTTCTAGACCTGGGTGATCTGAAAAAAAAAAAACTTCTTTGTTGCACCTGTTCTACAGAACATCCATACAGACTATCCAGTTGCCAATATACTGATATAATTAAGTGGTAGCTGCAGTAACTTCAGCTTTAGTGGTAGACACTACTTTACCTGCTTATATTTTTCTTTCTTTACATTTATATTTTACTTAACTTTCCATAATAAAATCAGACATATGAAAGAGTTCAAATAAATTCAGTGCTTGCAATGTTTATGTTAATCTTGATGATAGCTCTGTTCTCTGTGTAGCAGTAAAACACTGGATTGTTTCAACACACTGACACTTCCTGGAACATTGGATGCACAAATAATATTTGGGTGAAATGTGAAGTATAAAATTAAGATCAGTGGAAGAAGCAGAATAAAAAGCTGTGAACTACCTAAGACTTGTAGAAAACAGTAGTGAACCATAGAATATGCTGAGTTAGAAGGGACCTATCAGTATCAAGTTCAACTCCTGGGCCTGCACATGACACTCTAAGAATCACACTGTGTGCCTGAGAGCACTGTCCAAATGCTTTTTTAATTCACATACTTGAGAAAGAACAGTCTGCTACATACAAACCTATCTGGTGCAAAAATTTCAAATGTGCTAATTATATTTTTTAGCAGTGACTTGAACTTACTTGAAATATAAGTGTTGCTAAAATGAAAGGACATCAACCTAACTGCCAAGTCACTCTTGGAAATTATTATGCAGTAATTCTGAACTCTCTACATGGTCTGTCATTTTATTATCCATCTATCTGAATGTAAAAATTTTACTGTCACTAGCATGACAAATCACGTAGATGAAGAGTTAGAGTTGATGTGCAAAATGCATCACTTTGTGCTGCTGCTTTTAGAGCCATGTCAGGAACACAGCAAGAAGTCAACTTCTGGAACAGTTTGAAGAAGACTGCTTGTACACTTGCAGCCATTTAGAAAGATGCCAAGTCTTCTTGTCACACCCTTTGTACTAATCTCTCTGCCCAAGGCTGTCTTGTGGCCATCAAACAGCTGGCTTGGCACAGCTGAATCACCAGGGCCTACTAAAGGAGATGTTCTTACCTTAGGGCTCTGCTGCATGCACAGCCCAGCCCCATCCTGCTGTACAGCAGTAAAACCCATGCCATTTTAAATTTCTGGCCTGTGAGTCATTGCCAGGACATCCCTTCTGTTCAAGGTACCAAGCATGACTTTCACATGTACAAAGATTTTGTTATACGGCTCAAGGATCAAGAGTTCTGACAACACATTGCCATTAAAGCAACTAGTCATTAGTAATGTGAATTTGAAAACATCAGCTAAAGAAAATTTCTCTCAATCATGTGACTGAACTAGAGTATTTTCCCAAGGTATTTTTCCTTCTACCTTTTGTGTTGTCAAATATAACTGGAAGGAGATGAACTTCAGACTAAACTAATAGGTAAATACTACTTTGCAAGTGTAAGGTTCCTCAAGAAGGAACCTTTCCACACAGGCCTCTATTTATGATAGAGGATTCTATCATAAATCCTAGTGGACATAATTCCAAAAAAATGGACTTGAGGTAGTCTCCCATAATTTTGTTTCTTCCTTGACATAACCTCTACCAGTTTTTGTAGAGGAATGCCATGAAAAGGATTGTTTGCGTTAAGAACACTTGGAGGAGAATTGTATCTCCTGCAAGTCTTATTTATTAAAATTAAACCAGCAGACACCCTCCTACCATCCACTTAGAGAATGTCTCTTCTGTAATAATGGTGTATTTGCAACTGTTCAATCCTCAGCAGAAAAGGAAAACTGCCAAGATTTTCAAGCATGTTTAGTACTGTGTTTAAACCAAGTGGGTTTAATGGCGAGTCCTGCTTATCAGGAAACTGAAACTGTCTCAGTGATACTGTGAGCTATACAAGCAAACACATAAAACCATGCAAGACTCTCCTGGTCAGAAGGACTGACAGCAGGATTATGTCTTAGAGTAAAACACCCAGGATCTGATTTTCCTTAGTGATCCACAATAGAAAAAATATCACAATAGGAATCCCTCTGGATATTTGTCATCTTTTCTCAAGGATTCTGACTCTACTTATACCACCTTTTATTTGCATGAATGTCTTTCATCTCAGAAGTCTTCCATTACTGCAATATAAAGTTTTATATATATAGGTAGCAATGGAAGAGATGCAGGGTTTTGTTTGTGCTCTTTGATGAATACCATGAATTCCTGATAATGCTGCCACTTTTACGAGATAGATACTACATATATCTTTTACTAGGTAGATACTACATAGTAGTATATACCTAGTAAAAAATATCATGCAAATCTGAGGGAAACTGCAAAGCAAGAACCTCATAATATACTAATTCTATATATTAGAAAACCTGCTTAAAATTTACATTTTAGAAGTGTCCAAATTCTAAAAGATTTTCTCACCTCAACTAGTTTTTCTATGTAAGGGTGAACTGCAAGTGAATGCAAAAAGAAAGTTCTTCTTGGATCTAATAAGTCTAAAGAACCAACTACCCAGATCTCCTCCATGTCCTACACTACTGACAGGGGTCATTAAGATTCTGTAAGCATTTTAACATCTGCTCTAATCCTTTTTACAGGACATCAACATCTTCAAAAGGCAGAGCAACAAGGATGAAGGAAGCTGCTGGTGCTTTTAACACCTTCTAATGCGAAATGGAGTAACCAAAGACTTACTTTCTAAATGTGAGAGTGAAAAACTCTTGGAGACAGAGGAAGTACTTGAGATTTGCACATTTTCTTTTGATAAAAGTCTTTATTTGGCTTTGTATTAAATCCCAATTATGAATGATGAACCTAAGGCCTGCAGGATGCTGATAAAATATCTAAATACCTTTTGTGAAAAGTTAATTCTGCAACTTCCAAGTAAGAAAATTAATTTTGTAACTTTCTACATCCAGGCATAAGGGACACAATGCAATTACCCAGTAAGTATCTACCATAACCAGAGGACTCTTTCCTCCCTATTGTAAACTAATCACCCAGAAGGGAAATAAAGTTATATTATCTCCACTGTCTAATGTCTGTCTAGTAATGCTGCTGAGAGTACATTAGGTAAATACTTGTTTAGAAGACAGAAATAATAACATAAGTGAATGTTTGTGGTGCTCATTTGCCAGAAATGCTATATGCATTGTCTCTGTGGGGGAGAGGTGATGTTTCTGTAATTCTGAATGTGAGAACTGATGCCCAGATAGACTGAAGTTGGGATTTTAATATATGAAAAACTATCTCATCTGGATGTGCAAGAGCAACACTTCAGAAAATCAAACTGCAGGTCTTCAGAAAATGTATCCCTGAAAGGAGGCACAGAATTAAAAGTAATAAATAAATAAATGAAAAGAAAAAAAACCCCAAAACCAAAACAACGAAAAGCATGAGTGGCACTGCCAAGAAATAAAATCTACAAATAAAAAGAATCAAAGTCCCCCCCTGAAAAAAATGTCCCCAAAGCAACATTCAGTTGTTTACATTAGAAGATTAACCCTCCTCTTCCTACACTCTTTACAAACCTTCCAAGATTCCTCAACAAATGAGGCAGTAATATAATGCATATAATGAAACAGGTATGTGGCAACAAACAGCACAGATTAAAATGTTACATTTGGAATAATTACATACCAGGACTGAAGAGGACAATTGCTTTCAAATATGCATATTCATATCCATCTAGACACAGTTTAACCATGCTGTTACAAAACTCTTGCAATTTGAAGACATGCTCCATTACTAGCCTTCCTCTGTCTGTTGGCAATTTCTCTAAATCAAGACACACATAACAAAAATTCCCAAGTTAACACACATGCAAAAATGTGGTCACACTGGAATTTCAAAAATAATTATTTTATTAGATTCAAACAATGGGAAATCTATGCCATCTATAAATTCCTGTTAGGTTTGAATAATCTTGACACCAGCAATTACAGAGTATTAACTCTATTTTTTCACCTCTTCCAATTAGGATCTTCCTGCTAATGCTTCCAGTTATCAGACATGGACTAGAGCTTGAAATGATCAAGGAAGGAAGAGACTACTTCTAAGTAAAGCATACACTGCTAGTGCTGACCTGTGCCTAAGGCTCATGTGCCACATGGAAGGACAGTGTCCAGCTTCGTGGGTTGTTCAGTCAGAGACCATGTCACTGCTGGGAAAGGTGTACCACACACCTTCCCTGACTGACACTGAGGGGAATGTGGCTGGTGCAGAGCTGCTCCCCTTGAGTCAGCAATAGCAAAGCAGCCTGAAAACTCCATCCCCTCCATAACCCATCAACCTAGAGTCCCTAGACTCCACAAACTTGGTATCTCTTGAGATACTGCAGCTGGCAGACTTCATAACTGGTTCTTGCAGTCAACCTGGACTCCCAATTTAAATGGTAGAAATACGTATTTGTAATAATGATAAAAACATGACAAATTACTACAATATCCTTTCTGGGTAAACATACTTTAAATATTACATAGACCAAAAATTTCCAGATTCCATTTTTATCTGCTAGAGACAATCACAGATTTGTTAGTATCTTTAGCTGATCCAGTACATCTCATGATTTGATCAGTTTGTTTTAAGCTATTGTTATTTACAGGAGGATCTTGTGGATGTTTTTAAATCACGAAAACCCCTTGGAAATAATTCTTTAATTACCTTATCATAAAAGAAGATGAAAACATCTATAGTCTGGTAGGCTGTTTTTTTCTAGTTTACCAATCTGCATTTGCATAGCATCAACAACAGTGAATTTTCATACCCCTAACAGCAAACAACTCAAAAATTCAGTTAAATCTGAAAATGCTTTGATTCTTCCATGAGCACCTAACTTATGAATAATGTGTTATGACTATGAACACATGAAGACTATACTATTATTGACTGGATAGCTTTTAGTGATGATAACCTTGTGAGTATCCACAAGGACAACAAAGCTTTTAGCTAAAACTCCCTTCCAGCTCAGAACAGAATTAAAGAGGCCAACTGATATGTCTTTCATTTGAATGAAAAATATGCCAAAGATGCAGGACATAGGATTAGCAAGGAACAAAGTGTACTTATTAGAGATCTGTTGAAGACTTCCATGTAGACTAAAACTGATATACAGAAGTCAACAAGCCAAGTTATCTAAAGGAACTGTATCACCAAGCTGGCATTCAGCTGCTTTGTGTTACAGCTATGAAGAACAAGGACAGGTGGGTCATTCTTGACTTTGTATCTTTCATACAGAGGAATCATATTCATAGTACTCTTGTGTTCTTAACATTGATGCTGCCCAAAATATTCCTAATTTGGGCTGATGATATTAACAGACAAGAGGATACTATTAAACAATATAATACACACACACACACAAAAGTGTTGTTTTTTTTTTATTTGGAGTTAAATATTATCATAGGTGACTTTTGCAAAATTGCTAAAAAATTCTATCTTGTGGACTGTAGTTGCTAGTATAATTTTGTTTCAATACCAACATGCAATTCTTTAAACCGTAAATTTACAATAACAACTGAAGGATAAATAAAGAGCTTCTGCACATTTCAAAACTTAAAAAATATCAAGTAATTCCCCAAGTCTGGCATGTGCACAGTATACACCTTACCTTGCTGTAAACTGCCTTGAAGGTGATTAACAAAAGCAGCTAAGATCGTTGCCACATTCATAACTTGTGAGCATTGTGCTAGACCAAGCGTAAAAAGTTCATTCCAGCAGGCTTTTACTAATGATATGCTGTTATCCTGTCTATTAAAAAGCACAATAATTTAATATAACCAGGGCCATTTGCATTCACTTTTAAAAAATTTGAATAACACTTCATAAAACATTAATCTAATTCAATCATTACAACCAACACCAAAATGAAGTTCTGCGTAATTTTTCTTTGCATGTTAGAATTAAAACACCTTGTTTAATAAAGTGACTTTTGTAAAGCAATACATTTTTGTTTATAATTTTTCTTTGCATGCTAGAATTAAAACACCTTGTTTAAAGTGACTTTTGTAAAGCAATACATTTTTGTTTAAATGACCTAAAAGGAGATCGATTTCTATAACAAAAGCAAGCTGAAGTTACAGTAAATGATAACTGCCACAGTGTACTCCATCATGCTAGTTTTCTTAGGATTTGGGACAACATTTATATGCATGGACAAAAAGAAAGACAGCACTGTTCCTGTATTGTGGATGCAGAACAGACTCACGGGTTTTTTTCACTTGAAAACTGACAGGTTGGTATAATTTTTTAATTGAAGATACAGATGAAATGGAACATGTGTGATCAAGCTTCTGAGCTTCCTGACTGCTACTTTCTGCATCCCTTTCAAGTTTGGAATAAGGTTTGAAATACAGACTTCAAAGTATAAATACCAGTCATAAGGATTTATTTGCTGCAGCTTAAAATAAAATACATCAATTCATATTCAGCCACTTTTGTATTAGTAACCCAACTTTCAGTTATGCCAAGCATCTCTAACTCACAGAGCTTAACAAGAGCTCAGTACCTTAAAAAGTAAATCCCACCAGAGAGGAGTCAAATTCAGGTACAACGTTTCACAGTTTTAGGCAGTGAATACAAATAATAGAAATTTAAAAGAAGTACAAGATCTATCTAAGAAGAAAAGCATGTTAAAGCTAGGATTTCAACTACAAAAATACAGAGGAACAGATTTTTGAAGAATTCAGATATTATCTTCAGGAACAGTTCTGATGATTTAGTGCAATACTAAGATGTCAAATGACTGGTGAACACAGACTTGTCCTTAACTGGATTACAGAGCTTACTGAGAGCAATATTTTCATTTGGATCAAGTTCTTGTTATGGTAGATAGGATACTGTACATGCAGCTTCTGCACGTATTTGTCACATCTTTGTTCATCTCCTTTAACACAATCAAAGGGACTGTGCTGAGCACCACTGAAAACAGGGTGTACTGGCTACTCCTGTGTGTGTGTAGATAAACACATCATCTACAGCATCTTTATGGCTGATCAAAGTTACACCAGAACCAGTTCTTAAGTTTCCTTACACAGCCTCACAAAACTAAGAGGCTGTAAGCAGCTTGGTGAAGGTTTCAGTAGGAAACTCTCTTGCAAACAAAGATGGCCCTGCAGGAAGATGAGCTAATCAATATCTGGCATCATTAACTTCATCATTAGGTCAAAGGCAACTATCCTGCTGTGACTAAAGGAGAATGTTGCCTGAGGAAGAAACAACCTGGGTACAATTATCCATCTTCCTTATAAAACCATTACTCATCATGCTCCATGAATTTCTCTTCAGTTTAAAAGTGAAATGAGTCACCCTTCTGAAAGTCAAAATTATAGGATATAATGTACTCCAATTATAAAGGCTGCATTAATTTCAAATAAACCTCCAATTGAAAACAGGTTGCATTTTAGATGCTTCAAAGAAAACCTGAATTTATGTTATTTACATACTGTTGCCCATGATCTTGACTGGGTCTATAAATGCTATTACAGGTGAATATTATCACTCTTATGGCAGCTTACTCCTCCATATTTTTTAACCAGAAAAATATATTGTGAAATAACAGATAAAAAGAGCAGGTGCAGATTTTTCTCACTAAATCTTTTTGGAGAGAGGCCTTCTGTACTACATTTTATTTTTAAGAAGCAATTTCCATTTTTTGTTAGAATACCAATTTGTACTAATTTGCAGTTGTCTCTCTGTAACAAAAAATTTTTGACATAACATACTATGTTTATTTGCTATGCCTTTTGTAATTCTGCAGGTCAAAAATTTCTACCAGAATAAAACATCATATTTACCTATTTTTTTACCCCTACTATTCTTTAACTTGATACAATATTCCTTTCTCCTTCTCCAACACACAGGCTTAATTACACACAATACAGTATCTTTTCTTAAAAACTGTAGAATCATTTGGTTGAAGCATCTGAGTAAACATAAATGGTAATCACAGATCATCCTGCTTTGACAGCTTTCCTGGAAAAGGGGACAATCCTTCATTTTAAAAAGGAATTCTCTTTGCTGCCACAGTCACAGGCTGTTTTGATATAAATTAAACAGAAACACTGCAAATGAGAACAAACTATCATGATTTATTCACCATTTGTGTCAGAGCTGATACAGTATCTTTATTTGTTTGCTGCATCTTCATAAAATTACTTCTGAATATTATATAAATCAGTTTTTCCCATGCAGTTTGGACATAATTTTTCATGATGATCAGCAATGGACTACAAAACTGAACTTAAGTGATACAATGAATTCTTATGGAGAAGCAGGACTCTAAACAAACTCTAAAAAGAACAGTTAGAATTACCTTTTAGTTACAGAAGCCATTTATTTTTGGAAAATCTTTTGAAATTAGACAACTTTATTCTGAATGTCTGCTGAATCTAGCTAATAATTTTCTTCGTGTAGGTTATTAAAAGCAAGGAGTAAATCACCTTATAAGGATAGATTTTGTGGATTCAGACAGGAGCTTCTTTTTGGTGATTGCCTGATACGCATCAGGATGTAGCACAAGAGCTGTAGCTATTAAGAAGCTGATAGAAATTCCTAGTTTCTCAAAATATATTTGAGAAGCAGCAGTGGGTAGGCATTCAATTGTTTTAAATCCACTCCTTTTTCTTACAAAACCCAACCAAAGTCCTGAATTTGGACTCAAAGTGAGAGTAGTTTTAATTCAGAAAATTTATTTTACAATTAAGGTTTATAACAATTTTAATTTGTAGTTTTATTTTTTTACAAGTCCCTGAAGAAGACAGCAAAACTCAAAAATTCCAAAGCACATATGCACAATGTAAGTGAATAAACAGAACACTTACCCCAAAGCTTGGAAAGATGGAATGGAACGTGCCCAGTGCATGGACAAGAAAAGCAACCTGGAGGCAGACTCGCAGATATAGTGAACATTGAGATAATCAGGCATAGGAGAAGGCATGGTGAGCTGCAAAACAAAAGTAGGAAGAAAAAAAGAAAGAAGAAAGTGTAAGATAGTTATTTTACTTTCTTCATAATATGTTTAGGAAGAAATCAGTCCTTTGAGTTGCTGTTAAGTGAAATAATAAAATTGTTCTTTAAATAAAAAGGTATAATCCCAACAAAATGGAATGACTCCCTTTTGCATTATTAGCCACACCATTACACTCTGTGAGTTAAAGAACTACACAGCAACAAAAAAGACAAAGTTTGATTTGCAGACAGACATTCATGTCTGGGACAACTGGAGATGGAAAATCTCAAAACTCAACTTCTGAAACATTCTCAAAGAATAAGAGAGAAGAATCATTGTAACTGGAATGAACTTGCTAACATCAGAGGAGTGACAACTCCTGGAGAGAAAGAGAGTGTGTGTGAGAGAGAGAGAATTCCCTTTCACAAAACTTTTTTTTTTTACTTTTAATTAATATTTTACAAAGAAATACAAGAGAAATCTTTCGACGTTTGTGCAAAATACCCAATACACAGCTGCTCCCAAGTCCAAAAAATATAACCAACATATATCAGAAAGGATGTTCACAAGGTCAGTAAGTAAAATCAGTGATGTTACCTGCATATGTGAAGAAAGAGATTCCACCCAAAATAGCTTAGAATATTGTAATACTGTCTGAAGATAGTAATTCTGTCTTCAGAAATTGATATTTTTTTAATATAATGTTTTGGATAATGCAATTAAAAAAAAAAAAGCTGACATTTGCATTAGAGATATTCATTTGAATGATCAAAACAGATCCTGGTAAGAGGGGTAAAGTTTAACCAGACGCCTGTTAATAAGTTTTCAGATGACCAAGCTTTTTGATTTGTCCAGTAATTCTGTCTTCAGAAATTAATATTTTTTTAATATAATGTTTTGGCTAATGCAATTTAAAAAAAAAAAAGCTGACATTTGCATTAGAGATATTCATTTGAATGATCAAAAGAGATGCTGGTAAGAGGGGTGAAGTTCAACCAGACGCCTGTTAACAACTTTTCAGATGACCAAGCTTTTTGATTTGTCCATGAAAAATAAGGTGATAAAAAAAAATATAAGGAATTCAAGGAATTCCTAGTAATTCTGTCTTCAGAAATTGATATTTTTTTAATATAATGTTTTGGATAATGCAATTAAAAAAAAAAAAGCTGACATTTGCATTAGAGATATTCATTTGAATGATCAAAACAGATCCTGGTAAGAGGGGTAAAGTTTAACCAGACGCCTGTTAATAAGTTTTCAGATGACCAAGCTTTTTGATTTGTCCATGATAAATAAGGTGATAAAAAAAAATATAAGGAATTCAAGGAATTCCTGCAAGCTTGTAAAATGAAAAATAAATCCAGAAAATATATGGCTAACTAACACAGCAACTGTATTTAAGTCAATTACTACCATGCTAAAATAGAGTATCTACACAAACAAGAAACTGACAAATACACTTAAAGGTCTCAAAATCCAGTTGCATATTGCATCAGATCCACCCATTAACAACTCAGAATGTGGATGCTGACTTTGTTTCATGCAAAAACTTTTCTTTGCAAATCATTTTGTATGGCTTACCCTGTATTTTTAAGGTAAGAAACTATAAAATAAGCAGTGCAGCTAAACCACTGCAGAGTGCAGAACTTTCTCCCAAATGAGAATGTGGATGCTGACTTTGCTTCAGGCAAAAACTTTGTCTTTGTAAATCATTTTGTATGGCTTACCCAGTATTTTTAAGGTAAGAAGCTATAAAATAAGCAGTGCAGCTAAACCACTGCAGAGTGCAGAACTTTCTCCCAAATAAAGAATTAACCAGTGAACAAAAGCAGTTCATTACTTGGAAATTAATGCCAATACCTGAACAAATACTCCTCTAAGAAATTCAAAATAAAGCTTAGCCAGATCATTATTGTACATCACTATGCCAAAACAGTTGTAAACAGTCAACAGTAGAAAGTATTCAGTACCCTAAATGCTACATGTGCATCACTGAGAAGTGGCCCCTCTATTTCAACGATGTTCATGCTGGTTTCTCCACCAAGCAGCTGTGCACTGGTGTCAACACTTTCAGAGTTCTGGCATGCTGCACTCTCTCCTGGATTTAATGCTTTTGCAAGAGTATCAAATGCCCTGTAAGATAACAAACAAACAAAAAGAAAATTTCACTTTAGAGACCGTTTCAATTTAAGAGGAACCTGCACAAGTCTGAAATCTGTATGTAGAAGTCTGCTTCAAAGAATGAGGTTTGGAAAATAAAAGTCAGTAGCATGCTTTTCCTGACATTCCATTGAACTCTGAAACAAAAATTAGCAGCAGAGCCTGTTTACACTAGTTGCCAACAAATTCACAGTTTTGACATATTGGTTGTGCTGCTGAATCACAGTTTGCTTTTCAAGATCTCTTTAGTGATGTTCACTGAGAGCACTGACATGAGTGTTTTGAGGACATGATCACCAGACTGCTGTTAAAGTCACTTAGCTCATGTATAAATTTTTCAGTCTTTTACTGCTATGAAGCACAAACAGAGTAAGATTCTTTTTTGTTAAGTAATGAGTTAGATTTTTCAACTTAATTGGAAAAGACTGCTTCAAAATATGTAAGAGAAAGCACTCCCATGGTTTCAATACAACCCTTAGTACCCTCTACTGCATGGCAGTGACTCTTGGCTTTCACAAGCACAAATGCTAGAGGGCAGATGTCAGGACAAGCATAGATGTATTGCTCAATATTTGTCTGCTTGATAACACGTGTTGTTTTTCTGCTCATAAATACACCTGAGAACTACAAATGACACACCTTCAATCACAAATACAAACTTGATCACTGCCTACAGACATATGACATATCCTGGGAACAGCAACATTTCTATACAGTATTGCATGAAAAACTTATGAACTGAGGCCAGAAAACTTTACAGAAGCTGATTATCAGATTGTACATAGAGCTCATTCTCAATTTATAGATATGTTTATTACCACGGAATCTAAAATCACTGATTTAATGCCAAAATCTGGGATAGAACTTGGCCAGCTTCTCTACCCCCACACTCTTTAGCTACATGAATTTAATATCATGCTAAAAAAAAAAAAAAGAAAAAAAAAAAGAAAAAAAGGAGCTGTTTAACATAACTACACACAACCAAATGAAATATTACTGTGAAAGAGCTGCTGACACTGCCTCAAGGCTTGGGATGGTAAACAAACTAATTTTTGGTCCTCACTAGCCTGTGCACCTTGATGTATGCACATCAGGGTGACTGGGGCACACACAAGAGGACTGTACAGACACACCTGGGCCATCTTCTGTCTCTGGTATGCACAAAGGGAAGGCTCAGCTCTAGAAACTACTATGGACTCCTGCTAGAAGAACTGAGTTTCAGGTCTTCCACAATTCACTTTGCAGTCTTAGGTAGATAGGCAAACACAGCAGCTCACTGACAGCTGCTTTTAAAGAAACAACAGGATCTCTGTAGGGTTCTTCATGTGGCAGGAACAGAAATTTAGGAGAAGAACAAGACTTCCCCTTTCCCCAAAAGGTAAATGTCATATGCACCTGTCACTATCCTGTATTTATTCTAGCACAGGGTGAAGAGTGCTAGAAAAATAGTGTGGGCATGTACACTTGTTACCCATGACACTTTCCTCCCAAGTCACTCTTCAATGTTGTTTTCAAAGAACTGTTCTCCCTCCTATCTCAAAGTGCCAGTAGTAAGCCAGCAGAAGTCAGCAGCAGCTTTGCTTCCTTGTGGCTCAGTAATGAGTCCTTTCCTATACAAAGCCCCAACATGAGCAATGTCTGTAAGGTAAAACACCACAAAAAGGAGAATCCAGAACAAAGCTTGCCTGGGAGCTATGGAAATCTAGCACACAAAGTGAGAAAACAAGGCATAATCAAGATTAAAATACATGGCATTGATATCCTTTGCTACAGATAATTTTGGTTCTCTTTTTGTCAGACTCAATCATCAACAGATATATAAGACTGCAGATAAACTGTAAAGAAATAATACCATGAAGCATTAGAGGACAAGGCACATAAGATTACAATATAAAAGCAAAGGAGTGCCTGCAGCAAAAGCTGTAGTCTGTGCCAGCAAAACTGAAATTATAACTACTGCAAGCAATGAATAAAATAGATAAAAAGCATGGATGGATTAAATGTGCTCTCTGAAGTCCCTTAAACTCTTCTTCCTCCATAAACAGCTGCATTTGTTAGATCATGCTGGCATAGGGTCTGACAGGGAACTCAGTAATTCAGAGAAATTTTTTACTTTCTCTTGGAATAACAGCTTTCCTGTCACAGCAATGTTTACTTGAACCTCCCCAATGTACAGCTATTAGGTAACCTAGTTGACAAGAGTACATCAAGTCAGAGCTCTTTCAAGCTCTCTGGCTGATAGAACCAGATGCTTTTTCATAGACAGACTTTTAGAACTGAACAGAAACTCTGAAGTTGGTAAAAATAAGCAAATGGAAGTCACAGCAAATGGAAGATTACTACATCTCTTTGAACAGCCATAGTACTGAATGATGGCTATCAGCACATGCAACAATACTGCTTACATGGCATACTCTAACATTTACCTAGGAGGACACAGCAAAGGCCCAAATCAGCATCTATAAGAATCAGAATGACTTTCTAAGCAGTATATAAAGAAAGGAGCAAAAAAAAAGTAATCTGCTTGCAATTACACAAAGCAGTAGAGACCACAGGGGAAATCAGATATTTCAGCCACTACACGCCCACCTTTTTCCCCTTAACCAATTTACTCCACACTGACTTTCAGAACAGAATGTAAAATGTAGGTGGTGTGTAAAAGAATATTGCTGGGACAGCAGTCAGAAGCTTGCATGAGATAACAACCAAGGAAGAACAGGATTGTGATTGATGGAAAAACTGAATGCTCAGTATATACATCTTACACATATGCTCATCACAAGGGCTCAGTTAAAACCAGTGCAAAACATGAGTTTGTAAGATATTCAGTGAATGTATTAATATTGGTAGTGAGAATTCTGTAACTTCTCTTGCATAGGAGGAATATGTTTTTCAAGCTTTTAAGGTGATTAATAGTTACAGGCACTTAACACAGATGAGATCTCTTAAGAACAAGTTTTCCAGGATGATGCAAAGTACTAAGACTATAGTACAAGACCTAATGAAGGTCTACCTTAGTATGGCCAATCAAAAAGTAAGAAAATCAGCTGTAACATTTATACTGAAATTAATTTCAAGTACAAACAACTAAAAGGATTTCTTTCCCTAATGGAACTTTCTTTTCATTTCACTTGGAAGAATCTTACAATATTTACCTTCTACATGAGCTTATGCTGATATCACTATTGCTTTTAAAGCAGAAAAATTTCCTGCATTGTGATGATTTAACTAATTGCCTGGTCTGAATTGACAGTCTTTCTCTCGAAAATGAAGTATTTTTAAGTGTAACATGCCTTACCTTGTAACATCACTACTAGATTGTTCTTCTTGCTTGAGCTCAGATAATGATGCATCTCCATTACTCAAATTTTCGATCATGGATAGCTCTGTACTGCTTTGTGACACATCTTTACATTTACTGAGATTTGCTAGTGAAGTCACCACATTTGCCAGTGTACTTAAATCTCCTTGACATGCTTCTACCTAAGGGTAAAGAACAGCTTTTAATTCTCAGATAATTGGCAGCAGTTAACCTGCAAGAGAAGAGACCAGCTTTCACATAAATGAAGAATAGAGCATACACAAAGAAATACTTGTAAGAAAAGTGTTTTTAATACATGGGTAACCACAATACAGCAATCAAACATTACACTGTATCTAAAATATGGACTATTTTGACATTTACTTGTAAAAGTAATAGCTATCTATTTCTTTCAGAGAGAATACTACTGATGGTAAGCAGGTGCAGAAAGATTTCACATCTCTATGCACTAGTCTATCACCAGGAATATAAGACTGCTCTAGATTGTATTTTTAGCATCTTCCTTCAACATGTAAATGAGTCAGTAGTAAAAAGTTAGAAGAATGAGAAGGAATGCATGAAAAGTCATCTTTATAAACAAGCATAAAAATAATTATGCTGTAGCCTTTTTGGTGTTTACGTCTTTGTTAAACTGCAAAGAAAAAAAGTGATCCAGTACTGGCTAGCAGCTCAGAGAGGCAATAAGATGTGTCCCACTCTGTCCCAGCAAAAAAAAGTACATTATTACAGACAAGCATGCTGCTGCTAACACCACAGAGCAAGCAAAGCAAGATGCATAAAAACAGCATGAGGGTGTTGTTGGCCACTCCTCACACAGGGTTTGTTGTCACTCAGCCCTAAAACAGGGCACCGATCTGACGGTGGTCACACAACTGACACCAGCGTCAGGCCCTTGTTATCTAAAATCTTCCCCTGATGGACAGAGGACTCAAAAGACTAGCACCAAATATAGTAGTAAGCATCTGCAGTTCATTAAAGCCTTCATACCTTCTCTCTCTAACAAGCCCACAAGCAATACAGACACCTTCCTCTCACAGCTCAACCTGCTAGTGCCAACAACACCTCTCTCCTCCGAACTCTTTATACCTTTTTTCTCACATGCATAACACCTGCCTGCCCTTTTACTCCTCTGTGAGTGGTCAATACCCATCAGCAGACCATGATTCTTCTTCAATGCTGGTCTGTCACCTCTCTTACACAGCTGCAGCTTATCAGGGGCAAGACTACCTGCAACACTGTCTCCATTCTCTTACAAGCCACTCTCCCACACGAGGTAATTTAGTATCAGCTAGAAAAACACAAATGCTTCCTACTGTGCATACCTGAAAAAGCTACCACATGGCCTTAGTGGATCAGTAAGTGGAACAAAATGGAAACAAAGGAAAACCAGCTCATAAATAAAATTGTTGATGAGATAGGTCTTATCAGCTTTGCTAAAAAAATAGTGATTCAGGAGAAAAAAAATCCAAGAGCCATGTGACAGAGCCATGAGAAGTTTTGGGAACACCTCACTTTATTTGTACAAAAGAGTGAGCCAAGTGTCAGGATTATCCCAAAATAAAAATTAAAATAATAATGCCCTTAATGCTCCTAAAAATGAGAAGGAAGGGCATTTACTTTGTTGTGGTTTTTTACTGTGTGAGGCTAAGAGGATTCTTGTAAAGAGAAGGCGTTTGTAACAGTGGTGAATGTTGTAAAGGAGTGTTTTAAAAATTAATTTAACCAAATAGAACACCTTTCTCTCCTTACATATACAATTACAGCAATTAGCTCTACTTATATCAGTCATATCATCACATACCTTATCTGGAGTCATCAGCACAGTAGGTTCACTTTTTATTGCAGATGGATGAATGTTAACAAACATTCCTGATTCCAGTAAACCCGTTGATCTGACAGAAAACAGCACAAGTTTTAATTTTGATTAATTTTAAAATTCAATTTTTTTTTCAGAAGACAAAGATAGCCACTTTTGAATACAATTTACATACCTTGCTGTTTCATTGTCTGTTACAAAAGTTGGGGTTGCAGCTAATGGACTACGAAGATCTTTCCGAATGTAGATCTTTTCTGTAGAAGCTGCACAGTTGGAAGATTTTTCTCTTGACACTTCAATTGGTTTCCTCTCACACTGTACAGCTACAGAAATAATACCCAACTATTAAATCATCCTGAATTACAGAATAAGAAATAATACTTTTTTTCTTTATTTAATATTTGTTTTTAATGATAATCCTGAAAAAATAGCTAATATATATATATTAAACATATCCCATAACCAACAAGCTAACAAGTTGGAAGAAACCAGCACGCCAACTCGATGAGTTCTAAGAGAAATGATGTAGTAGTCAAAGTCTGACATGGAACATATGCAACATTTTTAAGTTAAAATTAAGGGAGACATCCCTCATTTTTAATTTGACTCAAAGTGGCAGCTTAAAGCTTCTCATTCTCTCAGTTTCACTATCTCACATTCTCACTTCCTTTGTAAAGGACTCATGTACATTTTTCCATGGATTTTGGGTCTGTGTTGAACTCCTGTAACTTCATTCATTTAAAGAAGCTTCTTGAGTTAGGACCTCAGACAATACAGAGGGAAAGGTACATTCACAAAGTTGAGTTTAGACCATTTAAGATAAATCTGGGCAAGACCCTGGCCCACAAGTTAATGACTTCAAAGAAGTGGATTTTTTAATTTGAATGACTCAGTGAAACAAGGTGGAATGAACTGGAGCTTTAGCCTATAGATGTATCACCTTGCTTTGAACATTCAAATTAAACTTATAGTATTACCCCCTATGGGGAAAATGTGGAAATGTGAAAAATGTGTAACTTCAGATAAAAAATTAAAAATTTTCAAGATAGCAGTTGACTGTGATGATATTCCATTGTTTACCCTGAAAAGTATCTTAAACCCCAAATGTTGTAATGTTAAGTATTGACAATGCTATTGAAGTCAGCCTGCAACCCATAAATAGTGCTTTGAAGGGTGGTGATGGAGGCAAGTATTTAATCCTCCTTTGGAAATGCTGTGCTTAGTAGCAGGGTCTCACTTTGCTGAGAAAAGGCCAAGGCTTCTTCAAGGAACAAATAACCCTCACTGAGGGAGCTACAGTCCAAGACCATATTAGGTTTTCTTTCCTTTCCTTTCCCCACCCCACTGAGGAATGAGACTTCTTATCACCAACAATCCTCTCTCCCACTCAGTATTCCCCTGTGACAAGAGATTATTTTCCTGCCTTCTGATCCCTAAGCCCAGTGATTTTGTTCTGCTTAAGATGTCTTCTGTGGAGGGGCCTTTTCTTACTTCCTGCCAGCTGAACTAGAGGGTAAAGATCCACTTTCACTCCCCAGCTTTTCCTCCCTTTCTGAATTAATTTCCTCTGTGTTACTGATTTCTGCTGGCAGAAGCAGGGCTGTAAGGAGGAAAATGTTCACAGAAGTTCAAGAGGGTCAGTAAAATAAGTGCAGGATGACAGAGAACAAGACCAATACTGTATGTACTACAACAGGGTCACAGTATTAGGTCTGAAGAATTTATGTTTTGTGTGATTTTCTGTATATTTGGTGTTCTGATACTGCTGATATTGCACTACCACTACATCTAATGTATGGAAAGCTAGAAAGGAACTCGGAATCTGTCACAGTATTAGGTCTGAAGAATTTGAGTTTTGTGTGATTTTCTGTGTATTTAGTATTCTGATACTGCTGTGATATTGCACTACCACTACATCTAATGTATGGAAAGCTAGAAAGGAACTTTGAATCTGCGGGAATTGGTAAGAACTGAACTTTAGATCACTGTGGATCTCTGCCTTGTGAATAACTGTCTCTGCAGAGCTTTGCCAAAAGTGAATAGCAACCTCAGTTGTGGAAAAACTGAAAGGAAGATAGAGTTCAAAAAGTTGAGTACCTTATTTTACATATAAAAAACCTGAACTGCACAAAAAAAAAATGCAGACATGTTTGATATTTGCCATGTAGGAATTTAGTGAATTCATTCAAGTGAATTCATTCACTTTCATCACATGAGATGGAGTTTATTAAGCTTTTAAAGCAAACACCTGAAAGCATTTAATATTTCTGATACACCAAACTTGCTATAAAGGAAGAAGATACAACGATTTTAAAATATATAACCAAGATAACCATTTGCAACTACACAAAGCATATCTTTTGCAGCAGGAAGCAGCTGCCAGGTGAAGTAGATTGCTCTTATTCAGACTTACAGTCTTGTTTCATCCCAAAGGCAATGCATCTCTGCAGCCTACAGTACTGACAGCGATTCCGGTGGTGTTTGTTGATGACGCAGTCCTTCGTTCCTCGGCAGGAATAAACCAAATTCTTCCGTATACTCCTCTTAAAGAACCCTTTGCATCCCTCACAGGTTACTGCTCCATAATGACGCCCTAGTTACAAAGTAACAGAAAATATGACATTAATTTTACAGTATCATATGAATGTTTTAGACTTGACATTTATTAAAGACAAAGCATTAGCTATTTTACCCAGAAAAAGAACACTTGGTTTTCCTCACGGGTTGCAGATCTTAAAATATATTGGGGCAATAAAACAACATAAAAAAGTAAGTGAACCATTTTTCTAGTTCAAACCACTTAAACAGGATTTTACAAACAGGCAAATTGCTTCTTAAATTATTTCCCTATCTGTTGACAGCAATGTTAAAAAAGGCTAAGAAAACAGGCTAGTGAGAACATAGCAAAAAAAAAAAATTAATTTACAGATTTCTCTAGTAATTTTCCAGTGATTTCTTATTACAATTTCAGCTGTTGAAACTGTATGCTTTAAATCTAACGCAACCATGGAAAGTGCAAACATGGCATTTGACAGCATAAGGCAATCACTTCAAAGCTTTATTTTCATTTCCCTCACAGGGTAATGGTATGTCTGTGCTTCTTGCAGTAAAACATCAATGAAAGAATAATCTAGAATAAGTACCATTTTTTTTTGAAGACCAGTTCTGCAAGTCTTCTTGCTGAACTAATATAAAAATTTCTAAGATATACTACAAAAAGTAAGTTTTACAATTATTTTTAGAAGTAAATTATTTTGATTTTGCATAAAATATAAACATTAAGAAAAAGAATTGATGAAGGCATGCTTAGCAGTTGCAACAATTTTAATTTATCCTTGAAATACCTATGGCACATTACAAAACAAATCAAAATATGACCTAATTTAGGAGAAAAAACTTCAAGGTTCTTTCCTGAAGTTTCTAGAAATTCTGACAGGTTTTCTAGATTCCTTTATCACAACCTTTTTACCACTACTAAAATGTGAAATTTCAAAGGCATCATATGTATTAAAAGAATATTGTCTGAAACATTTTAGTGGCAGCTGGGTTATGAATATTCATTCTGGATTGCAGCTTGGAAGTGCCTGCAAAGCAGTTTCCATGACAGTGCTTGTCACATGGGAGGCTCCCCAAAACCTGCAGCTGCTCAGAGGAACATGGCACTCTCCCCAAAGTCATTACCACTGCCCAATATTCCAAGGCCAGCACAGGAGGAAAACCTCCTTGGAACTCCAGCCCCTCAAGGGAGACTCCAGCCCTCCACTGGGGAGTCAGAGAAGTTTTAACAATCAGAACACACCAATCAGATCTTTGCCTTAAGTTTGGCAGAAATTTCCTTGAGATGGGTGAGATCTGACAAGTATTTAGAGCTCTAGCAACTGTATTTTTTATGTTAAACTTTTCCAATTAAAAAAAAATAAATTAATACATTTTACTTTCTAGCAGGTTTGCTCCCTGCTAAAGGGAGAGCTCATAGTGGTCTGCAGGTTCCTCACAAGGGGAAATGGATGAGCAGGCACTGACCTTCTCCCTCTGGTGCCAGGACCCAAGGGAATGGCATGAAGCTGGTCAGGGAGATTTTAGGCTATATGTGAGGAAAAAGGTTCTTCACCCAGAGAGTGGCTGGGCACTGGCACAGGCTCCCCAGAGAAGTGGTCACAGCACCAGCCTGACAGAGCTCAAGAAGGGTGTGGACAATGCGCTCTGTCTGGCACAGGTTGTGACTCTTGGGGTGTCCTGTGCAGGGCCAAGAGCTGGACTTCATTGACCCCTGAGTTTCCCTTCCAACTCAGTATATTCTATGATTCTATGTAAAACAACAATAAATTCTATCCATGGATACTAGAGTACCACTGAGTGAAATTCTCCACTGCATGTATAGAAATTTATACACGTATATGCATGCAAACTGTTACACAGCTTCAGAAGAATTTTAAACTGCTTTTATAAAATTGCACCACCTTAAAAAAAAGAAAGAGAAAAACCAAATACCTGATGCTTTGTCTCCACACACAACACACAGATCAAACACTTTATTTAGGCCCTGTTCACTGGGGGAGTTGTCCGTTAATATCTGAAACAAAGTGTGAAAGAATTTAATTTTTAATTTTCTTACCATCTAGAAATAGTAAAATATATCTCATGCTTTTGTTATTTTGTCTAAGATAGGGCACTAAATCTACAAAGTACCTTTTTTTCTTGATTCCATCTAATGGTCTTCAGAGACACAAAGTCACTACCTGCCATGCCACTGTGCTCCCTTTTAGGAGGGAACAAGTTTTATTTATAATGCTTTTGAGAAGAATTCAAGATTTCATTTCTCTAAATAATACTTCTGCAAAATGGACGGACAATTTGAAAAACTTTTAGCATCTGCATACTCTTACTATTTGTTCAATTTTATATTTATATACTAATGGCTTATCAATAGTACAAAAGAGATGGAAGCACTTAAACAGATGGAACAAAAAAAAATCCTTGCAAAGGCTACTAGACCTATACAGAGGTTTATTAACTTCTTTTTTTATAATACACATAAACATGGACCAAAAGTAAATGTACTCTGGACACAACCTTTAACTTCTGACTGGTATATAGCTTGGCTTTCAGTGACAGTTTGACATTTTTAAAATATTCTTCTCTTGTCTCAGTCATTTGTCTTTGGCACCTGTAAAGCTTTGTTAAGCACATAATTTTAGAATCCCAGTACTACAGGGCAGGCACTAGAACATTTCACTTAATCTTTGAAAACTATCCCACCACAACATAAACAAAACACAGCAAAAATTCCATGTAAAAAGGAACACATAAATCATAAGTAACAACCAAACATCATCTTGACATAGAAAAGAAAAAAATGTTCTTCTCATTCAAAAGAGAATATAGTTTAGAAGCTTGAAGAGTTTTTAACTTCTACTGTGCCTTAAAGGGAAGCCAGACTCTTCATTCTTGCTTTGCAGGTTCAGAACAGGACCTCTGATAAAAAGGGAACCAACCAAAACAGAAAGTACTCTCTCTTCCACAGAGAAAATTTAGAAATTGTGCTTTTTAGAGTTTGGAATACAGTACAGACGATGTATGTAGGAAAGTTTAACAAGCATACTTCTTTCTAGTTAGCCTTGATACCAATACAGTCTCTGAGATTCATCTCGTATGTTTTCTTCAAAAAAACACCAACTTTTTAAGAAAAATAAGATGATGAGTTAAGAGAATATTAACCTATTGATCCTTCCAAATTTCAAGTATTAACATCATGTATTTTCATGATATTATAGAAAATATAAATTCTAAGTCCTTCTATAAATTAAAGCTGCACTGAAATGGGAAGTTCCACATAAGGAAGGACTACAGAATCGGCCCATGAGGAGATAAAAACCCAAGACTCAGAGAACTTATTAACTAACCTTGACCATGAAAAATAAAAACTTATTATTGATATGAAAAAGAGCCACTGAAGTTAAAATGATGGGATAAAGGGTCTTGCCAAATGAGACAATGTAAAGATAAGATGCAATTACAGAGAGGTTTTTGGCAGAACAAACAAATGGGCATTTCAAGTGAAGGCTACAGAAGAAGAAGAAGAAGAGGAAAACAGGTGACATTGGAGATGAAAAGATCATTTGAGAAAATACAAAAGATCCCAAAGGGATGCAGGTGAACAGCAAATGAATGGTACTCTGTATTTCATGAACTTTTAAATGGACAAAGGAAATCTCTACCCATACATATCAGTGGACAACAAAACAATTTAACTGGAGTGACAGAATACCCTGTTGCTTCTCAAAATGACCTACTTTGTCCAAATGATACAATCACAACTACAGCTTTCAATTTTTTTTACAGATTTCCTCTTTTCCTGAATTTTGCCTTATAAACCAGTGTGGCACACTTCTCATCCCTTAAGCTGTCTTTGAAAATAATTTTTATGTGGACTACTCATATCCCACTAGTTTATATGTTCTTGAGGCTTTCCTAAAAAGTGTATGATAACACTAAGCATGCTTCAATGCCTCTCAATAGGATTGGCTTTTGCTACTGGTCCCCTAGTCACAGTAATCAAATTTGGAGCAAGGACCCAGGTGTCCATTTGCAAAGAACTGTGAATTTCAAAGCCAGTAGTATTATATAATACAGAGATTCTTTCAACCTTACACAACATGTGGGTAGTCAGTCAGTGGACTGGTTCACAGAAGAGCACAAACTGAACAGTTTAAGGGTCTGCAGCTGAAAAAAAATTGCTTAAAAGAGGATTTTGTAGTGATCTATAAACCCCCACACAAATCTTTAATAGTATCTTTTACTGCAAGAGACACCTAATTAGACAATTCTCTCAGATGGTGAAATAATCTATCATATTCTTGGCACCCCATAGGCTATTATACAGAATAAAGCTTACATGGTCTATATAAATAACAAAAAAAGGTAGTTTAACTTTAATAGCAGCTATCAAACATGATGGTCTAACTGCAGTCTCCAAATCAGGAGGTTCCTCTGTATCATTAGCTAATGGAAATAAAAGGATATGCTCAAAAAGATCATTATTTCCTTGGCCATCTTTTAACATTTTTCCTTAAGCAGCTGTTTATGGTCACAATGTTTAAGTGTTTGATATGGGACTAAATGGACTGCAGCTATCTGAATGTAGTCTGGCTTACCACTTTATTGTAGCATAAATGTGTCTGGGTGGAACACATGCAGTAACTGTGCTTTGGCTGGAGTGCAGTAACCTCCTCCTCCTTCATGCCGAAAGAGGTCACATCTCCCAACTCTTCTTGCATGTTTTTGACATTCTTCACATCAGTGCCATCCCATCCCTGCCTGTGGGGGCTGAGGATGTGGGACAGAAAGCTTGGAAGTTGGAGGGTGGCAACCATGGAAGTGGCACATATAATGTGCATGGGAGTAAGGTGCACTGGGGGCCAGCTAAGGGAGTTACAACCCTGCCTAGTTACAATATCATATTAGTAAACCCAAAATCATTAGTGTTATTTCCTCACCCCCATGAAGTAATGTATTGCCCCACTAAATAGCCTGAGCACTGCTGTGGACTACAATGCACACAGCTGAATGGCAGCTGTAACAGTGAGCAAAAAGGAAAATGAGCAAAGGGAAATGTTAAGCAAGAAGGACAATGGAGAAAAGTGAATGTTTTTCAACAATACATGAAAACAGATGGACAGTTAACAAGCAGAAATAAAGGACTGTTGGCATGGCAGAATCTGGAAATGACAATAAAAATAATTGTATTCTTCCTAATGTCATGAGCCAACATATAAATTTTAAAAGCAAGAAATTTACTTAAAAATGCTTTTTCATAATTTTTAAGTATCCACAGTGAGTCGTAGTGCAAGGAAAATTATACTTTAAAAAAAAACAAAAGGGAGAACCCACACAGAGTTATTTGGAAATAAACATCTTTTCTTATCCCATTTGAATGAAAAATATCAAATAAAGTGGATTATCTACCTGGATGTGTTGTGCAGATATATCAGGGGATGCAAAAAACAGTTGGTTGACACCTGCAGCATCTGGAGTTGCTAGGATAACTTTTCCTGGAGTGGAATCTTGTCTGGCAAGGATCACCTTGCTTGGGGTAGAGCCATCATGATTTGTTAAGATGAACTGCTTGCCTGCTGAGCTCTGATCAAGTGATGTAACAATCTGAATCTTCTGGCCCGTCTGCTGATCTGTGACAATCTAATAATACATTTATCTCAATTGTTATGGTGATTTAACTTTTTGGACCCAATCCGGGCACTTGAAGAAAATGGGATTTTGCCTTTCACACTTGAGAAGCAGGATCATCTTCCCCTCCTTCACACAAGAGCAAATTAAACTCAGGCAAAAACTTAGATTTTCACTGTATTTGAAACACATTTCAGTCAAGGGCATTTGAAGTCAAAACCTGAGTTCATACTCAATTTCTGCAACTGACAAATGTTTTAACAACACTACTGAAACTCTTGGCAATTCTAACTTCCAGAACTCAAGGCATGTCTGTAGCTGAGCCCTAAGACCCATCGGGTTATAAGAAATCTTAATTCTTGAATTCACTGCTCTCTACATGCAGTGTCTGCAGCACCTCCAAGGTTTGGTTACTTAACAAAAAACTTCTTACAACCACAAACGGACATGTCCAAGTGAAAAAGTAAGCAGCAAACAGCAGGAATAGCAACTATATTGTCGCACCTGCATATACATTTTAGACTTCACTTTGTGGGGAACTTTTTTTACACATACATTTCTAAATAAATTAGTGAAACAGAATCTCCTTCCCCGCCTTTTTTATTTTTTTTAAGGAAAAAGAACAGATCTACAGGATGGGTTTTTTTCCATTTTATCCCTATTTTCAAGCACAAATACAGCAGAATTTTATTAAATAATCCTCTACTTTCTGCAACTTTGTTAGAAGATTATAATCCTCAGAGAAAATAATCAAGATTCTATATATATTCCATTATAAATCTCACTTTAGAAATCTCACTGCATATCTCCTTAAAAATGTGTATACGGAAAAATGCCTGGTTTATTCTGGAGACTAAGGAGAATTATTCTACAAAGACTGTTTCCTGCAAACTATTTTGAATTACAGATCAATAAAATAGCTCCTATTAACTTGTTTTCTAAACTGCAGACAATCATTTATGTTTAGCTACACATACCTAACACTCATATTACAGATATTAATTTTATTTTTATTACAGATGACATTTATTTAGTTGTCTAATATTTACCATAACTTCTTCCCTGTAACTGGGGTGCCAATATTAATTGTATTTCCTACGTGGAGAACCATGGTACAAAGAAACTGAACGAGGCATAATTTCACATGAATTTTTTATCAGCCTTGCTCTTGCACCTTCACAACAGGCTTATTACTTTCTCTAAATGCTCAATACCTGTATATAGTTTACATTTTAAAAAGATAAGCAGTGATGAGTAACCAATTTCAGCAGTTATAACACAGTATTGCCACTTTCAAATATTCAGAAACCATGAATTCCATTGCACAAAACTAATGTGTTTCCTTCAGGTGGCCTTGTGCTCTTAACATTTTAATGGATCAAAATTCAATCTTTTTCTCTGCAAAATATGATTAAAAGCATATCTAAGATAAAAGTGCAGGTAAAATGATAAAATTCTAAATGCTAAAGAACAAAAATTATCATGGGATTTTGGGTGTAGGATGAGAAGACAATGCTAAACCATGACAATAATTATTGACATGATAAATTTTCTGTTCAGTTCTTTCATATATCCTCATGTCTGGGACCACATATGGCTACAGCAGACCATTATTTCTTCTTTAAGTTCCTTTATGTTAGTTCTATATTCTTTTAGAAGGCCAACTTCCTTGCCCTTCTCACTTCTTTCATTCCTTAATTTCCTTTTCTTTGTTCACTTTCCTTCATTTACAGTCTTTATTCCTCCTGTGTAATTTTTGGCTATTTCCAAAGTAGCTGATATTCCACTCCCCTTCTTTCCAAGCATCTATTGTATCAGGATTAGGAGAAATCCAATGTATATTATGCTCAACAGGGTGCAAAAGCCAAACAGAACTCTGTGCTCCTTTTGAATTTCCAGACCTGCTCTTTGAAAGATACTCTTAACTAAAATCTGTCTCCCTATCAAATCTAAAAAGCACAACTGTGAGTACCCCAAAAAATGTACATACTCCATCTAGTTAGGTTAATAAAATGTATACTCAAAACCAGCATGTCCCAAACAGTAAAGACAGAAACTTCAACTACAGCTGAAATTATTTTTGGGACATATATAATAAGTTATGTTTTTTCCTACTGCAGCCCAGCTGTGTAATTAAAAGAACATACAGTACTTGTAGATAAATATGGTAGGACAGTAGGCAGAAGAACCACTGATACTTCACCCAATTCACTTCACCTTCTATTTAACAAATAGAGTCCCAGTCTTCAAACGGGTTTCTGCAATTCTAGAAGGATGTCCAGGCAGTTTTTAATGCATTACATAGTAGGTACAGTGCTACATTAATATCCTTACAAAGCCATTCAACCTGCACAAGTGATTTCTGCACCTGACAAGCATCTGACAACTGACAGAGGCATAAGAGAAAGCAGTTTAAACAGTTAAGCATGTTCTTGGCTGCAGCTGACCTCTTATAGCCATACACCTGCAAAACCTCCACCTACATTCAATGGGGATACTGAAAAGTGGAGCAGCTCACCATAGCACAACCTGCAATACCCAAATGTCAAGGTAAGAGAAAAAATAGTCAGAGGGAAGAGGAAAAACACTTATCTTTTGACCATGAATCAGTGACAACACATTATCTCTCTTAATAATCTGAAACTCAATATTGCTAGAAGAATAATATTATAAAATAATATATAAATTCAAGATTGACTGCATAAAAAATACACTACCCTCATGAATTTCATATAAGCACTCTGATGATAATGGAAGATATTATTTTCCTTTATTGCTTTAAAACCTTGTTTGTTATCAAGTTTCGATTTCCATTTGAACATCATTTCAATAAATTAAACATCTCAGTAACTGTGTGTTCCTATGTTACAAAAAAGAAAATGTCTAAACACAGACAACTAATACATCTGTTTATAACAGGTGCAATTTTGTGCAGAATGCTTGTTGAACAAATATAATATTTAACTTTTCTCCCAGAAGAAATGCTAGCATTCCTTAAGAAGAGTGACTAATGAAACATGTTTTAAAGAACCTTCTACTGAAGATTTTCTATTTCATTGTTTCAGATAATTAGGTGCATTTAATAATAACAGAGGAAAAAATATTGATTGAAAATATATACTAAAAATTATTCAATGTAGCATTTATGGCAGACATTTCACAGAGATACATTTATTCCTACAAACTACTTTGCTCTCCACATAAATTCTTCTCCGAGCAAAATTTTTATTACTAAGTTAGTGATATGTTTGTAGATGTCTCTTGCAGGAAGGATGAGTGTTTTGACTGAGTGTTGTTCCACACACATCAAGAGACAACAACCAAAGTTGCTGACAGCTTACTGTCCTTTTTGAAGACAAAATGGTGTTTAATGGATGAGCACAAATTAATTAATAAAAAGTACATCTGTGCACATAGTGTAGAGACGGAGCAGAGGCAGCTGAAAGAATGAAGACCTACCGGATTGGTAACAGACAGGCTGGGGGATAATAAATCTAAAAAAGCCCTATAATGTATGGGAGAGTGGTGTGAAGAGCCTTGGAAGGTTGAAAGCTTGAACATAAAGCACCAAAACAGGAGAAAAACAGAGGACAATGTTTACAGTGAAGCTGGTAAAAGAAAAAGCAGCCAAGATTATACTAGCAGCTGGCTCACTTAAATGTGTGCTTTTGTATGAACAACATGTATCTGAGAATATTTTTTACATTTATTCTGCAGTTAATATTTTTCTCTACATTGAAAATTAAAAAAAGGAAAACTGACTTGCACTGACTTCTAAGGCATAAAACTTAAAATTCCATTCCCCAAATGTTCCTACGTCTCCATAAACACATTTCTGTGTTGATTTAAGTACCTACATTAACAAAAACTTCACTACCCTCACTTCAACTAGAGGTTATTACTTGGCCAGGTTATGGATTATAATACCAAGACATACAACGTGGGTTGGGACAACCAAAAATCAGTATTGTTCTCAGACATTAAGTTTCTCTGCACTTTTTCATTACTTCAAAGATACAATGCAGTATTTCCCTCCCCAGTTCTGCTCCAAAAATGTAGAAATCCTGCAACTTAGTTGAACTACCAAATAGACAAAATATTCAACTTTCAAGGAATGGCTTCACTTGCAAAAAGTATTTTTCTGTTCAGTGATTTAGGATTTTTGTAATGTTAAAATTCTTACAAGGGAAAAAGAAAAAGAGGACAAAGAGAGGAAAGACTAGAATGATGTTTTGTTCCCATTTATACAGAAAGGGTCTCTGCCATGTGGGGCTGAATATTTACATTAAAGCAAACAACCAGATGAAAACAAAACAGAACTGCATGTGGAAACTGGCAGAAGCAAACAGCTGATCTCTGCTTTTAAAATGCACCAGATGCAGCATACCTGTATGCGTTGTGATAAAGAGAGGCCCGAATCTGCAGGGACAATCTGTATTCGTTGTGGTGTCCCATCCATTAGTGTTTGTGTACCGCCTTCCTGGGAATGTGTAACCTAGGAAGAAGAGACAAATGTAATGGACTGACAACAGATATATTATTTTAATGGATCCACTACCTTAATGGATTAAACCTGCAGGTTTCATCAACTTCCAATTTCTCTGAACATGGCCACGGAAAGTCTGTCACTCTTATTCTATAAAAAAATGCAAATGCCTATAATCTAAGTCAACACCTTAATTTTTCTAATTAGAAAATTCTGATTTAAACCTATTTCTAAATACCTTCCAAAGTGAAATTTAAAACACTTTAAGTAAAGCAATTAACTGTTGACAAGTCCATGCATTTTGAAATACTTTCCAATGTGAAATTTACAAACACTTTAAGTAAAGCAATTAACTGTTGACAAGTCCATGTATGTCAACTGAACTGAATATTTACTACTGATGATGTTCATGAGACACAATACCTACCACCATAGCTGTGCTATGTTGCAATAAATTCACTTTAATGACTCACTTGAAGTGACAGAAGGGGTTTTTGTATGGAACCACAGCAATCAGCAGTTTCAATTCTGATTTTCCATTAAAGAATTCTATACTGGGGAACTATTAACAAAGGTAGGGAAAACTAATAATTGCAAACAGTGTATCTTATATTAAAATCTCTGCATGAATGCTCTCAAACACAATTCATGGAAGAGTTTCAACAATTACCAGTATTTTAAAAATTCTTCACAGCCTACAGCCAATGTCATATGGTGGAAAGTATTCTGTTATTCATTACATTATCTGTCAAAAAAAAAAAAATAAAGGACAGCTGCTATTTGTAGAGGGTCAATCAGAAAGGCCAGATTTTTTGCACTACTAAGAGAACTTATTTTCACAGAGTTTACAGACACCTTCAAATTGAAATTTTTGTCTTAAATTCCCAGGTAACTCCAAAACTTTTTGGCTATTCACAAAACTGCCTGTAACATCCTGCAAATCTCTATTACCAGTAATTCCCAGTATCACATCATTATACAAATACTCCTCTGCACCTGATTGTCCTTCTGCCCCTCCCAATTAATACAGAGAATATATATGTATATTGCAGTAAAGGTACTGCTTCATAACAGTTTGTGAGGCTTTTTGTTCCTCCTGGATCAGCTTCCTAATCTTGCAACCATACCATCATCTAAATGCTTGTACCAGCAGACAAAAGCAGGCCACAGCATGCAGCTCGAGGTCAGTATGACAGAGGGATGGGGTGGAGGGTAAGACTTCCCCTTCTAGCAGAAATACAAGCTCCCATCAGCCTACGTTGATTTTGAAATTTTGCCAAAAAAGTTGCTGCTTTTGGTAGCAGTCTCATAATCGACTTGCTCCTCTCCCCTCAGTGTGGTAGGTAAAGCTGGCTGGGTAGTCATTCTGTGATCTGGAACAGGACACCGATGCAGGCTGAAAAGCAGCCCAGCAAACAAAGGCTATTCTTAGCACAGGTCTTCCCAGATCTTCTTCAATCCAGTCTCCACAATGCTCAGAAGCAGATGCATCAGAGCAAATGAGTGAGGCTAATCTGCTGGGGAGATTACTTAAACTGCCAGCACCACCAAAAGAAATGCTTGTCAGACTACTGCTGAGCCATTTCTGGACACTGCTTTCTAAAAATAGCCAATTTTTCTGAGTACAAGTACTTTTAAACAATTCATCTGCTTCTTTACTTAAGTAAAGGACAAAAAACCCTGTTCATTAACCTGCAGCATTTTCAGTTCAAAAGCGGTACTTTCAAACACTGAAGTTCTGCATCAGCCACTCAAATTGACAGTACACATGATGATTCAGAAGTGATTAAAGTTTTATGTGCATTTACCTTTGCTTTAAAAAATAAGCTATATATTATAGAACTGCTTTACATTTGCTCCCTTAAGATGTCATGATCCACATGTACAACTACTTTTTAACCCCACAAAATGTCGGCTTGACAGTTTTACTTCTATACAGAATACAAGGTTTTTTATTTCAGTTAATATTGATAAGAGTAACCGCAAAATTTGTTAAAAATTGTACTTTTTATGTGTGTTACAGACTGTTTCAACAACGATATAGCCTTCCTCTGTTACAGCAAACTGGCAGGACTGTGGAAATGAACAACCATATACTTAGTGCACCCAGGCAGAAATTAAAGAAAGAAGAATGCTCTTGGCAGGTAGCTTCTCTACATGATTCAAGAAATGTGGTCTTGATATAGAAATAGAAATTATCTTGCACTGAGAAAAAGATGACTAGCAGATGGCAGAATGTGAGCAACGACAGTCACTGCACAATGCTCCATATAGACAGGGTTATATATTGCTTCAATGCTTTCCTTTCATGCACAAAGTCCTAAATTAACAAAAGCACATTTGTGAACACCATTGTCAAATTGTTGTTGTAATTTTGTGATTTAAAATGCTTCATGAACAACAACAATTAATATTATAAAAAATCAAAATCTATGTACAAAACTCTGCTGATCATTATTTCAATGAGACACAGAAGCATTTCCATTCTCTTCAATAGTGGAACACTTCTTCCTTTCAGGTCTTTTTCCTTTCAGGTTCTACTCATGTAAATTTTTCTTCTAAATTCAATTAAAACTACTTCAACATTCAATAGTATTATAAATGCCAGCAAAAATACTGCTGAAGCTCTCTTAAACTATGATTTTTCAGTGATTAGGAATGCCACCAAGCAATTACATTCCTGCCTACCTACAGGCTGTAAGTTATTGCATGGAGGCTCCTGTGAGACTGCTTTCCTTGCTGATTCCACCTTTCAGGCAGCACATTCATGCATGGCATGCACCTTTGACAATAATTTTGGGTTAAGGAGTCCCAGTTTGCACTGCCCTCGGGGATGCTTTTCAGTCCTTCCAACCATGTGCCGTGGGCCGCACCTTGTACATAATAAGGACACTGATCACAACCAACAGGGAGATGACCTTCCTCCCCCCATGCTGTCATTAATTTTTTTCCTAGTTTTGTCCACCAGATGATGACACACAGAGCTTACATGAACAGGACTAGCATAGCATGAGAATAAGAGGCTAAGTGAGGACTGGGGAATGGTTGAGCTGCACTGCTGCCAAATACGGTGTGACCGTCTCAGACACAGTAATACCTTGCCAAAGGACAAATCCTAATCTACACTGCTGACAAAACAACAGCCATGAAAACTGTAGAGCTGTGATTTCACCATGAACAAGAACAGCTACAGCTCTCTGCAGCACTGCACCTTCACTGTCCCTGTTTTCTCCCCTGCCTTCCTTTGGCTACCAGCCATTTCTTTGTGCTGGCTCTGGTAGTCATTGGAGCCTCCCAGACCCTACTCTACACTAACCCAGCAGAAAACCTTCCACTTGTTTTGGCTGGATTATTAGCTTGCTGGTGGTGGTGAAATTAATAAGGAAAGAAACAGAAAAAGGACCCTCTCTCTCCCATGGTACTGAGATACTAAGTCAGCTCAGTGTCTCCTAGAATCACATTAAGGAATTGAGAAACAACCCCCAGAGGCTAAACACCCTCATCACACCATCCCCTGAGTGGAATGTACACTTCAGCTAGCTTTGACTAGCCTTGTACTGTCAAAACCAAACAGATTTAAACAGGAAATACAGCCCTATTTAGACCTCAACAAAGAATTATAGTTCCAAAACAAAACTGCATTGAACACGTGTTCTCACCTAATAAAGAGGACAAGTAATAACAAGCAAACACCACACATCCCATAAACCACTTATGTCCTTTTGAGACAGCCTTAGCAACACTCAGGTGCTGCAAAAATAAAAGCTGCAAGAATTTATTCAGAGTAGAATTAACCATCCCATCCCCCACTCCAACCTTTCCATCTGAAATCAATGCTGAGAGGAAATAAAATTACTTGAGAAATAAGTCTATGTCAGAGAAGCAAAACTAGAAATCTGCAGAAACAGGAGCTCGATCTTTTGATACATAACAAGCACATATATCTGAAAGTGAAGAACATGGCAAAACTTTACCAGTGGGAAAAAAAAAAAGACAAATGAAGTAATTGCATAGTTGTAAAGTAAAAGCTGTGTCCTGACTTTTTAAACTAAAAGTGAGTAAAGCAATTACACAACCAGATGGCTCTCTGAAAACCACTGCAGGCTGCACAAGCTGAAAGGCTAGTGACTTACTGGAAACACTGATAGATTGTTCTTAATTTCTGTGGGGCGAGCTTTGGCACAAAAGGGTTTGCAGTGTAACTTTAAAATGGACATAACAGGTTCTTCTGCCTTCTGAGGGAAGTGTCCAGAAGCCTTGTCTGTACCAAAAATTTTCTTTTGTGATTTGGGCTTCTACGTATCAGCCTGTGCATTTTATTATTCAATTTCTCTTAAATAGGACTCAAAATTTATGTACCTCTCCCATTTGCTGTTCAAAAATTTGATGGGCCAGTTCCTCTATGGTTGCCATGATCTTTAATCACCAGAATTTCCTGTCAAAGAAAGGAAAGAAGATGCTTAACATCTGTAGCTTCAAAAGTAAAAATATTCTGGGGAAAATATAGTTCATGTAAGTGCGTTCACAGTTTTATGAAGATGACATCCCTGCAGAATTTAAAGTTTTGCTTATACTATAAAAAGAAATAATTTGCTATTTGAAAACTTTGTATTGTTTTATTTAAATAACTCACAGAGACTTCCTATTTTCCTCTTCTGCTTTTCCAACAAGCAACAATATAATAAAATCACTGTGAGAACAGAAGTCTATTACTGACCATGACATCAGCAGGTCCATGTTTAACATCTTAAAGAACTGGAACACAGACAGCTTTTGTTAATGCAAATCAAGAAGGGCAAATCTAACTTCTGGACTCATACAGATTTTTTAGTATTAACAGGAGTGCTTGAAGGTCAATTTTGTAACTAAGAGGCAGCAGTACTTGGGACACAGAAGATAAGTGTTAAAAAAACCAGGATGCTGTTTCGTTATCAATACTGCAGCTACAGCACAAGCCCAAAACTTCATGAGAACTTCATGGGGTTTAACAGACACTGCTACATTAATGCAGTACAAAGGATTCAGATGCATGCCTTGTTTACTTGTCGAGGCATACGTTATGTATTATATTATTGATATACAAATATTCACTAGTCAGTACTTAAAAGGAACATTTACAAATTATAAAGCACTATATAAACAATTTTACTGACAAAAGTGAATTAAAAACTCTGCAATATCTACCTCTTGTATGAACAAAGACACTACTCTTACACTAATACTGTTTTTCATTCTTTAACTTTCCTGGAACTCCTAGGAATTACCTACTCCTCAATGAAACTCGAAACCACCCCAATGAGCCATGCAAATAAAAAAATTAACTCACTTTTAACTCAGATTTAACTCAAACTAATTCTGTTCTTAAAATTTGAAAGAGAAACATTTTTTGACTAGAGCAAGAACTGCAGGCCTTGGAGTTCCTGGTATACTAAAACCTAATTAATGTGTGAAAGGGGAAACACAGAAATATTTGTGCACTGTAGATCATTCTTAATCACTCACTAGCATGCTGCATTATTAGTTAAATTATGACAAAAGATAACAGGCATGCATAGAGAGATATGATACTGAAGCTTATGCTGAAAAGCAGTATCTCCTAGGAAGATCTAGGTGTCAGCATCCTTGCAGGAGCACTCTGTTAGCCCACTTGTGCATCCAGTGAGCTGCAGCACAATCACTATTCAAAGAGCGCTTGGAATTTTCAAGGCAAGCAGTGTCTTATCAATGTTTTCTTCTTTTAAATAAAATACTAGCAATAAAATATTGTACTGTTGACACAGAGTGCCAGAAATGAGTGCTACTTCATTACACAATAACAAAGAATCACTTTGAGGTATTAATTGGCATCAGCTGGTTAAATCTGCCCTCACAGTCAAGATGTGAGCTAAGTAAAACAGCTTAGCTTGGAGACTGAAAGTGATTTAAACTGACGTGTTTCACCTTGGAGCAAAGCAGTGTAGGAATACATATGTATTCAAACTTATCTAAAAGAGACTCATCTGAACTGCACTTGCATGAACAAAGGACATCAAGTACACAATCAAGACTGAACTCTTATGATGAAGAGGAACCTGGAGAAAAGGTTGAACCTGTCCTGCCTCTTCATGCTGTCTGGAACAAGCACAAAGTGGTTCAACTTATGGATGCAGAACCAGCTGTCAAAGCTACACAAATCACCTGAGTTTGAGCATGGCTTGCATGCACACAATGGAAAAGGAATGTATTCACTATTATTGACAAGAATTTATATATTACTCACATGGTGTTTTATATTTGGACACTTGCACTTTCAATTTGCATAAACACTCAGAAGTAGGTTCTTTTGTGTGTTGTTGCTTTATTTAACTCAGCGATCTCTAAACCAAAGGGCACTGATGAAACCAGTATTTGTAACACCAGTACTCTGTACTAAAATATCTTAATGGAAATCACCTCCAATAAACCATGTAACTTTGCTCTGAAGAGCATGTATAACAGTGAAAAAAATCAGCTTCAATATTTCAAGTATAAACTCTTAGACAACATCTCATGTTGTAGATCATGTTGCAGATATGGAGAGCTGAAATAGGCATTCCTATCCCATCTTCCATTTTTGGCTTAGAATTTCATCTCTTCATGTGCTAGCATACACATAATGCCTGAGAAATCAGTTCAAGCAACTGAACTATCAGAAACTTCTTTCTTATTTGCTGAGTCAAGGAGTAATTTCAAAAGCAGTTTGAACAGAATTTACAGCTCTCCCAGGAAGGAGGTCCTGCTCACCCTGACCAAGCTGCAGTGGTCCTGATTCCACAGCAGGAAAATTCAACTCACTAAAAGGAGAGAAAACTCAGCTAGCAGAAATGCACCAAACATCAAATAGGTGAGCACAAAGAACTTAATTTCTTTTGCAGTCAGATTCATTCTATTGCAGCCAGGAGGAAGAATATGTTGTTATAAGTCAAGAGAGGGAGGAAAAGAAGGAAGATTCAAGGAGAAGGCAAACCTCCATTCCATTTGTTATTGATGGGAAGTAGGTAATTCAGTTGAACTGCACCATGAAACTGTACCCATTGCTTTTGGACCAGCCAGCTGGCTGACACAGGTCACTCTGGAGTCAGACAAGCCCACAGGCACGTGAGCAAGAAGCAAGGTCCCCCCTCTCAGGAGCAGCTATGTGTTAGGCTGTTCATCTTGCTCTGGGGACAGGGGAGCAGGACAGGTCATCACTATCCACAAATCCTCAGCTAACTTTGGGACAGCTGTAAAAGGCTTTGTAGTTCTTATTTTGCTTACCTAAGGTATCTGTGTTAGACTTCACATCAGGTATGCTACATCACTCCTTACATATCCCTGCAAGGAATTAAGCAGAAAAAAACTGCTTCAGCTGTTTTTCTTCTATTATGTAAATTTTAAAACTCAGCACGTTTTTCATGTTTTTAAAAGCTTATTTTCCTGAGTTACTCCAGCCAACATTCTCAGTGGCTGAATTGTTTCACATGAAATATTAAATATATTCTAAATTCAAAGCTACCTGAAATTGAGAAATGTTCCTTAAACACCTCATAACCTTCCTTTCCCAGCAAAGAAAATTACTTGGGGGATGAAGGAAAGGCCATGGATGTTGTCTACCCAGAGCTTAGCAAAGCCTCTGACACCATCTGCCCCAGCACTCTCCTGAACAAACTGGCAGCTCATGGCTTGACCAGGGTTCCCTGGGTAGAAAACTGGCTGGGCTGGGCCCAGAGTGGTGGTCAAACACCAGTGGTGTTCCCCAGGACTCAGTACTGGGATCAGCCCTCTCTAGCATCCTTATCAAAGATCTAGATGAGGAGATTGAGGGCACCCTCGCCAAGTTGGCAGATATCACTAAGCTGGGCAGGAGTGCTGACCTGCTGGAAGGCAGGAAGGCTCTGCAGAGGCATCTGGCCAGGCTGGATCAATGGGCTGAGGCCTGGGGATGCTGCTCAACAGCAGATGAATACAAGCCAGCATGTGCCCAGGTAGTCAAGAAGGCCAACAGCATCCTGGCCTGGATCAGCAATGCTGATCAGCACCAGCAGGACCAAGGCAATGACCATCCCCCTGTACCCAGCACTGGTGAGGCCACACCTCAAATGCCACATGCAAGAAAGACTCTGAGGTGCTGAAGCACTTCCAGAGAAGGGCAATGAAGCTGGAGCATAACTTGGCTGAGGAGTGGCTGAAGGGGGTAGGGATGTTCAGCTTGGAGAAAAGGAGACACAGCAGAAACTTCCTGATCTCTACAAGCACCTGAAAGGAGTGAAGTTGTACAAGGAGAGGTTTAGATTAGATACTAGGAAAAATTTCTTCACTGAAAGAGTAGTGAGGCATTGGCACAGACTGCCCAGGGAAGTGTTGGAATTGCCAGCCCTAGAAGTGTACAGCACCAGGCCTAGTGGTAACCACAGGGGTGCTGGGTTAATAGCTGAATTCAATCTTAATGATTGTAAGTATCATCAGCCTGGGTTTTGATCTTCAATATCAGAAGTGATCTTCAAGGTGTTCTCATCTAATGTGAATCTTCTTGCTTTCAGAAATGCTCTTTTCCATGCTTGTCAAACCACACCACACACACTCAAAGGACACGGCAGCCCACATATGAGAAATGTTTATTGCTAGTATAGGAAAGAAGCAGATGGAGTCAATTAATTGTCAGGTTTTTTCTTAGAACACTCTCTTCTCCTTTCAAAATGAATGAGACAAATCACAATAAAACAGATTTTATTCAGATGTTTAAGACCGATAATCACATTTTTGCCTCCTTTCTAAAGTTATCTAAAACATTGAAAGGAGGAAACCTGGAATTCGACAAGACCAGACACCACAACATAGAAAAGCTTCTAGGAACTGCTTTATAATGTTCAAGAGTAAAAACAACTGTAACAATATTAGTTATATTTTGACTACAAGAGAGAAAGGAGAACCAAGGCTCCTGCCAACACACAAACATTACGCTGTGTTTACCAGGAACTGCTTTATAATGTCCAAGAGTTAAAACAACTGTAACATATTAGTTATATTATGACTACAAGAAAGAAAGGAGAACCAAGGCTCCTGCCAACACACAAACATTACGCTGTGTTTACAAACATTGCCCAAATAATTTTTACCTCATTTCTATCTCACTTTGAATACTCCTGCAAAAAGTATTTTCAATTGCTGCTGTTTCAACCAGCAAGCCTACAGCTGCCTACAACAAGTATTACTCAACTGCCCTACTGGTTTCCCTTTTTCACATCAGACGAAGATCCTTGCCTTTACTTTTACCACAAAATTCCTGAAAACTGAAGTGGTAAGAAGTGCTTTGTCCCATGGCCATTTAGCCACTGACATTGTCACAGGTTCTCTTACTTCCTTCTACAACTTTCTACCATTATAATCTGACACTGTAAACCTACAAAACAAACATAACCTTTCTAAAATTTTCCTTTAAAAAGATGTGTTGTTGACAACTATGTCAAATTAACAATATTAAGACTGTCAATATCATTAGACTGCTGTCTCTGCAAATGTACAATACATTATAGTTTGGCAGCTTGGTATACCCCTAGTCTATGATGATCATTTTGTTTATTTTCTTATTTCTGGGAACAGGGAAAAATCCTCTGCTCAGAAGATAGTACAGAAAAGTTTTGCTTCTGCTGACTCTAGGTACAGAGTAACACAAATATCAGCATCTGTACTTAATACTGATTAGACCTGCTTTACAAGGATGATCACTACACTTGTACTCAATTTATTCCTTGAGTGTTTGACAGCATTACTTGCCACATAATTAAATAAAAAATGAAGCTGTTTCAAAAACATTTGAAAAAATAATAAACAGAATTATATATCTGTCTCCTTTCCTTACAAAAGCTCAATCCCCCATCCACTAGAAGCAGCATCTAAAAGCAGGCATTTTGACAGAAGGCAGGCATTAGACTTCCTCTTAAATGCATTAAAATGTATTTATCACTTTTCTGTTCCATCTTCAGGCTCAAAATGCTACCAAATCTTTTTGTCTGTAAGTTACATATTGCTAGTTTATGTCCCTAGTAAATGAGTTAGTGAGCCTTCTTGACAAGACTGAATTATTTTTAAATGCATCACTATCATCAGTACAAGCAGGGTGGTGCTGAATCTGGCATCATCAAGCCCAATGGTGTCCCACTGCTCCTTAAGACAAGCACTCTCTAGGCCACCATGGCACTGGGAAACTTTCATTAGCTTGCTCCAATTAAACCCCTCGTCTCTACTTCCTCCTCAGCTTTTATGTGCCAGAGTTTTCTCAAGGTTTTAGTCAAAATAATTTATGAAATACTTACTTTTTAAAGTATTTCAGGCTTACTTCAACTGAAATGGGTCAGGAAACATTCCCATGAGAGCAGACAGCAATTTTGAGGGCTGGTACTCAGAAGCACTGACCTCTCCACTACTACAGCAAAGTTATACCCAGAAGACATCACCATTTAACTTAACCTTCTCCGGGGACAAAGGTTACACAACTTCAATTGTCCTAGTAGGAGGCTCCTATTAATAGTATTTTTAAATATTATACCTTTGTAAACTAAGGACTTTAAAAGTAGTACCAGGAAGTATATTTATTTAGATTTCAATGCTCAATTTGATATAAAAGACAGCACCTCTCATTTTATTATATTACACAGTTGGTATAGCTGGTCCACTATCAAGTGCCTTGATACTGATGTAATGTCCTTTAAATGAGTAAGAACAAACCACAATAGCATGAAATCCCAATGTGAGAAAATTCTGTCCATTCCAAAGATCTTCAATTTACTTTGAAAAAAAGTACCACATACCCCTGACCAGTTTTACTGGTACAAAAACAATGTCTGTAAAATTTTAGTAGTTTCATTTACCCTGCTGGCACTGTTAAACCAGTCTGACTCTATAATGATGATGAATGATGATTCTTCTAATTACAATGTATGGAATGTGTCTTAATACAGGGGTCTTTCCTAAATGAAATCAACATGTTAAATTAATGAAGTTACACAAGTATGTTCTAGATACGTTAGAGGTACAAGTACACTAACTAGTTATGACTGCAGAAGTTACTGTGAACTTTACTTTTTGCTCTTTTATCCGTGTGCTGATTTTGGCTGGGGGAAAGCTAACTTTCATTGCAGTAGGTGGTATGGGGCTGTTTTGGATTTGTCATGAACACAGGGCTGATAATACAGAGATGTTTTTGTTATTTCTTGCAGTGCTTACACACAGCCAAGAGCTTTTCTGCTTTTTGTGCTGCCACACTGGTGAGGAAGTTGGAGGTACATGGGAGTTGGGTGGCAGACACAGCCAGGACAGGTGACCACAGGAATATTCTATACCATGTGACATCATGCTCAGTATACAAAATGGGAAGAGGAAGGAGGAGACGGAGCAATGGCATTTACCTTCCCAAGTAGGCACTGTGCATGACAGGGCCCTGCCATCACATCGGATATTCAGCCAGCAACCTGCCCTGGAGATGGCTGAACACCTGCCTGTCAACTGGATAAGTGAATTATTACTTGTTTCACTTTGCTTGTCTGTGTGGCTTTGGCTTTCCCTATAGAACTGTCCTTATCTCAACCCATAAGTTTTCCAGCTTTTATCTTTCCAATTCTCTCCCCACTCCCACTGGTGGGCGAGCGAGCAAGTGGCTGCCTGGGGTTAAACCACGACACAGTGAAATACAGGAAGGTCAACATGACTTTTTAGGAAAGCTCAAGAAGGTAATATAACAGAAAACCAACTGAAAGAGGAAAATCGCTTTCTCTAGTCATACTGCCTCAGTAGTGAATGATTCCAATATACCTCAAAGTCAACTAAGGATTTTAGCTCAGGTCACGACATAGGGCTTACAGGTACTCTGTACCTCAAAATGGAAACTAGTCCTCGCTTCCATTAGCAAACTAATCATATACTAATTAAGAATTCAGCATAGCCTGTGCTAAAGTTGTTTAATAAACTCCTACACATGAAATAGAATGCACTTAACAATTCCTCTATGATTAAATGTGCCTGAGTTAGTGCTTAAATAAGTTAAAGACCCCTCCAAGATTTCTTTATATGTTAGAGCAGTTTTCTACAATGCTTTACAGATAATAAATTAAACCAAGGAATTCAAACACATTTGTGAAACAAATGATGCTACTGTGTTCAGTGCTTCATACAGGAAAAGCTCAATGAACACAGCAAGCTAAATGAGCTATTCTTGAATTATTGTTCTATAAACCACACTGTTCAAGAGGGTGGAACAGTTGGCAGATTTAAAGGAGTAATAGGACACAGCAAGCTAAATGAGCTATTATATTCTTGAGCTATTCTATAAACCACACTGTTCAAGAGGGTGGAACAGTTG